ATAAAACTCAAAATCTGTGTATCTCAACACTTTGAATCGAGTAGTTGCAGGGGGTAAGTTACCTTACCAGCGGGGTAAGCACCTTACCCCACCTTACCCCAGGGGGTAAGCACCTTACTCCATTTCCCTGTTCTGTGAGTAGTAGGTGAATACTGGATGCAAACCTGCCAAGCCACAGAGAAGTGAGAGTATGTCTGCTTTTTCAAACAAAAGCAAACCACAAGCAAACCAACCTTTCTTCATAATCAAATTAATTAGTAGGAATTGGGAATTGAAAGGCTGAAATACAAACTCCTCTGCTGTACTTCTGCACAACTTATGAGCCTAAGCTCCTTAATGAATCTCTAGACCTGTCATAAACATATGGTGGAGGCTTCACAAGACTTACACGTCTGCAATTCTCTGATCCTCTGCGAAAAGAGCTAGAAAGCTGTGGGCCCCAGGTGTCCATAGCAAAGGTAGAGAGCATCATCTCAGGACAATAGCAGTAACAAGTATTTAGCACTTGGTATGTATCTGGTTGTGTTGAAATATTTGGCACATATTAGTTTATTTAATTTCCACAGCAACCCTATGAAACAGGTGCCAGTTTTTTTTTAATTTTGTAATAGGAATAAATAATGTAATGAAAGTCTTCGTGGTGAAGTTAGAATGTGAACCCTGCCAGCGTTAGCCCAGAGTCTATACTTGGAGCCATTCATTTTAGTGTCTCAAGAGATAGTGAGGAGGGAAGCGCTGAATGACTGAACCCAGGTTAGGTCCTTCACTCGTTTGCTCACTTGCTGGGACAAATGTCCCTTTGCCTACCTTTTACATCATTTTGAGAAGCAAGAATTAATTTTAGGAAATAATTTTTACAAGCAGCATCTAAGTGTGAAGTATTAGGAGGGGAGGTGTGTAAAGACCTAAAGGCAGCAGTGTGTGAGGGGCTTGGGGCACAGTGAGAGCAGGAAGCCAAGGAGGAGTGTGAAAAAGCTTTTGGGCTGACTAGCTGAGGTCTGTTGTCCCCTTCCTCATTTTGCTGTTCTGATTTCTTAGCATGCGTTTCTCAGACAAGGGATACTGGGCCCAAGAGTAGGATTTTCATTTGAATTTCGTATTACCACATGAATGAGGGAGCCAGAATAGACTGGACTCGTCTCTTGGTTCATTTATTCCACCGAAATTTAGAAATGAAACTTTCTAGGATCAAGAATCAAGAACAATTTTTATTTTTTGGACTTGGAATTTTATTTTTGGTTTTGAGGCTACACTTGGCAGCACCCAGGGCTTATTCTTGGCTCTGTGCTCAGGGATCACTCCTGGAGGAACTTGGGGGGACCCTATAGTATAGATTCCCTATAGAAATCGCATCTGGGTTGGGGGCATGCAAGGCAAACACTTTACCTGCTGTACTATCTCTTCATCCCTTTGTACCTGGAATTTTAAAACTGGAGACTTTGGAAAAACTCTCAAACTATCTGGCTAGGACATCTTAAAAACACACTCCGCTAGAGTGTGTGTGTGTGTGTGTGTGTGTGTGTGTGTGTGTGTGTATGTGTGTGTGTGTTTTAAAAAAAAAAAAAGGACTGGAGCAATAGTACAGCAGGAAGCTGTGCCTTCCCTGTGTGCAGTCTACCTGGGTTTGATCCCAGGCACCACATGTTGTCCCCAGAGCCCTGCCAGGAGTGATCCCTTAGCACAGAACCAAGAATAAGCCCTAGTACTGCTGGGGGTGCTCTCCACCCTCCTCCCCCGCCACAAAAAAAGAAAAAGAGAAAAGAAAAAGGAAAGGTATGTAGTGAGGAAGGAAAATGCCTTCACTGTGAAGTAAGATATGGAAAGCTGCCTCCGCCCAGTGGTCTGCAGTGCACTAATTTCTTTGCAAGTCTTCCTAGCCCCTAGGCTGGTCTACCCCCAGCAGTAATCTACCAGGACTGAGCAAGCTCATCTGTCTGGCTATAATCAAAGCTGCAGCCAGAGCAGCAGGGGCAGACTTCTCATCCTTCAGCCAGACTCTTCAACTGCTTGCGCTCTTGCAACTTAAAGCCTAAACCTGTTAACAGTAAGATTTGGAAGGTCATTAGTCTATAACAGGAGCTAGGCACCACAGACATCTCTTTAAGGCAAAATTAGAAACAGCTGATTAACACCTATCAGCCACTTGAAGGTGTTACTGTTCTCAGTGTTCTGGGGGTGGGAGTGGGAAAGATTACGGATTCCTGGGACATTGATATTGACAAGTATGATATGGAAAGCAGATGGGAAGACTCCCTTCGAATTTTTTTCCAGTAAAAAGAACGTGTTCTTTAGTTAACCCTCTCGATGTAACTTAGGTCCCAAGAGATTTTCTGATCTATGGGGCTCAACTATTGTGAAGGTTTTGTCTTTCTTTTGAAAAATTTATCTTTAGAAGAATTTGAATCATAGTCACCTTCCTCCAAAGAGCTGAAACAGCAAAATCTCTCTGCAAAACTAGTCCCATTTAAAACATTTCAGTGTGATCCTGCCAGACCCTAAGATAATTATAGCCTAGAGAGAGGCAGATGTGGCTTTGGGTCTGCACAATTTTGATCATACTATATCTTCTCGAGGGCTGGGATGAAAGATCATAGACATAACTGCATGCCAAGAAAACATACTGAGTTAGAAGGCATCTACTTCAGCAGAAACACCCAAAACGAAGGTATAGGACCTGGGCAGAGATCAGGATTCCATCAGGGCCAGGGACACTTTATTTGGCATGGTGAGTCCAGCCCCAGTGAAGGAAGCAACTTTTCCTTTCTGACATTAGCAATGCCTGCACCAGCTTCAGAGTTCTTTGAAATTTTGAGTTAATCAGGTCATTGCTCCTTCGCAGATCACGACTGTAGGAACTAAGGAAAAAAGACTTGGTTGACAATGGCTGACTGAACCACGAGAAGAGGGCTTCATAGCTCAGCTCCTGGGCTGGGAAAAATCCCTTCCAGCAGAGGCTGGGTTAGTAGGTGCCACAGCCCTTGCAAGGACACAGCTAGTCTTGAAGCCGTGTAAATTAGCTGTGCCTGTAAGACAGAAGTGAATGCAAAGGCTCTGGGACCTGGACTTGTTTTGTTACTGAAAATATCTTAGTCATTTTAGGCATTTTCTGCTATATGGGAAGGGTTTTGATGAGAACAGAGTATTCTTGTACATGGAAATCTTAACTGCATCTGTTTCGCTCTTACTGTCTGTGCACTAAGTCTTTTGCTGAGAAAGGTAACTAATTTCATCCAACATACCTTTCACATCTTGCCTTGCATGGTGGATCCAATTCCCATTTTCGAGAAGTTGAACCTACCTCTCTACTTCCACCAAAACTCTTTTGCTTATGGTTGTACCAAGTGTTTTACACTCTCGCAAATATTTGCATTAAAATTCTAGATGCTATTAGCAATCTGTGGTTCCAGATACCTCTGGAAGTTCCCAAATTATTTGGCCTATTGCCCCCTTTTTAGGAAAAAAATATATATCATGAGGCCAGCAAGATAGAATGTTTGTTTTGCATGTAGAACACCTGGGTTCAATCCTCAGTACTAGTCCCTTAAGCACCACCAGGAGTAAAGTAAGCCCCAAGTACCCTTGGATGTGCAAAAAAAACCCCAAAAAGTAAATTATTAGTGTTCTCCTTGTCCCTCACCCCCCCCCCATTAGCTGCTTTGGGAAACAGTTTCTAAGTCAGCTGCAGGAGTCAAACCCCAGGCATTGCATTAGTGCCACAAAAGGTGCCTGGAGACGTGTCCTTGTACAACTCAAGACACTGCTCACTTTGCCAGTCGCTGATCTCATTTCTCTCACGCATCTACACACACACAATCCGGTGACAGAGACAAAAAATTTTGCTCATATTTTTTTTAATGTATCACAATGAGCAGGAAACATACTTGATGAAATATTTTCAAAGGAGTATATTCAATTACCATCTACAATCAACTTAACTATGACAACAAAGTTTTTGTGACAATTTTTTTTTCAGTTTGAAAGTTCCATGTGGTTCTGTTAGTCTCCATGTATTTTGGTACAGTTCGAGATCAGCATTGTTACAGTAACAAAAAAGCTAACAAGACTACATTATAGAAAAACACCAAGAACATCATTTTTGGTTTCACTTGCTCTATTTTTTTTTGTTATTTTTTTTTTTTTTTACTTTTTTGTTTTTTTGTACATTGCAAAGGCTGTTCATATACCTCTTCACCTCAGGGTCACGTTCATTTATGCTTTCTTTCCTACCCAAACTTGCCCCCCTCCCCCAAAGAAAGTAAACAAACCAAAAAATTCTAGTCAAAGCTTTGTTTCACAGTGGGCAGTATCAGCGCCAACAAACAACCAACTCAATTTATGTTTCTATTTAAAATGTTTAATTTAATTTATTATTTAAAAAAAATATATGTCCATGAATATCAAGTGCACTGGCTTGGGTCACTGCCTCTCTCTCCTGCAACTTCCTGTCATGCCTGATAAACTCAGGTTTAAACACATGCCGTCTGTTTTACTTCATTTTCAATCGTGTAAAACTTTGGCCACATTCATCTCTTTAAATAGCTTTTAATTTAAAAAAAAATCTTCCTAGATTTATTAAACTTTTCCGTGTGTGTTTCCTTAAGTGTCTTTTGGGAAGGATGAAGGATGGATGACGTAACTCCCATTTGGGTCCATTTGGTGCTCTGAGTGAACGGTGTCTAGCACGAACCCACAATGTGGAGTATTTGGAAAAATAGAAAAGGAAAGGAAAAGGAAAAGAAACCAACCAAAAACCGAAGTGAAGAACTAATTTGAAAAGTGAGTTGAGATATTCTACTCAGCTACCTACTGTGCAGCAGATGGGAGTTAATTCTCCGAGAGACCAATCCAAACAATTGGGTGTTGTAGTGAATTCGTGCTTTGTAAATGATACACGTCATAGCCACAGTGGAAGCCAGCCCACAAACATCCATCCCATGCATGTCTGACCTCTAATTTTCACTGAGTGCTTTGCTACTTCTGGGTTAATGCTGGGACTGACCTTTCCTTTTTTTTTTTTTTTTTTTCGCATTTAGATGGGAGTGGTACAGTTGTAGAGAAGGGCATTAAATGTACAACCCGCTCCAGGCTGAAACAATCACATAACCTGCTGAGGAACACTGGTGGGTGAGAGCATACTTTACCAATCTACCCAACCACCTTGCTGTTGCCAAATATACCCACAGGTCAAGGCATGGCATAGGGAAATGAACACTGACAGTCACTCTGCCTTGCAGAGGGAGGATGGCATAGTAGCTCAAAAAAAAAAAAAAAGAGGAAAAAAAATTCATTGGGGAAGGGGTGGCAGAATTACAAGTGAACTTAAAGTTGAGAGGGGAGGTTAAGGGAGAGAAATTGCACTATTACCAAGCAATATCATTTGTAGAAACAAAGTTTTCAGAAAAGACCTAGCAGAATCTGACAGGTAAAGCTAGTGTTAAATTGTTAATTGGTATCACAGAGAACCAAAAACAAAACAACTTTTTTTATATGATACAGACACAGAGTAACATACAACAGTTAAATGGCAAAAATATATATATATATATTTCATAGAGTTACAAACAAGATAAAATAATGGAAAACAAAAACTGTACAACTTTAAAATTTTAAAATGTTCATCTCAAACACAGGGAGAAATACAATTCTTATTAAAAGAATAGCTTGTTAAAACAGCAAATGGTTTGCGTACTTGTTTTTGACACCTTATGCTACAACTGGATACTGGTATGAATAGTTAGATGGTATTCTTTAGTATTTCTACTTAAAAAAAAATTTTTTTAAAGAATTTGCACTGTGCATCAGCCTAGTTAGAAATATGTACAACAGTTCAGGATCTACTCTTTCATTAAACTAAAAACAAATTCATAAAAATAAAATAGTCCCGGCTAAAAAAAAAAAAGAAAAAAGAAAAGAACAAGAAAAGAAAAGAAATCCATTTTCAGATCTTGGAATGCTCCAGTCTTTTTTGCAAAGTCGATGAGTGGCTTCAGCACTGGGGAAAGAAGCCTGAAAGGTGACCGATGGAACCTGCATTCACAGTCTTCAAAGTTCCCTTTTGAAACATAAGGAAAAGAATGAAGGGGAGAAGGATTTCACACTTTGGGGCAAAGGGAGATTGTTTCTGTTGACGTTTGTTTGGCTATGAAAGTGAAACAGCAAAGCATCTATTTGACTCCAAAAAAATCTACGTTAGCAGCACAAAGTTTTCCTTTCAAAGTTCAAACCGTTGTTTTAAGATGAGAAAGGGTGTGTGGTGCATTGTGTTAAGTGTTACAGGAATATGGATATTAAGGTAAACACAAGTGCCTCACATACGGTTCATTTTTGCTCTCTGTACATTGCTATCTGCTTCTTCGTTGGCTGCACTCTGGATCACTCGCCGCTCAGACTGCCTAACACAAGGACAAAACTTTGAAGTAAAAAATGTGTCTTTTGGTATATGGAATCATTATTAATAGTTGCCCCTCTGCTTGCAGAAGAAGCACATAACAACCTGGGAATCTTTTGTTTTACTCTTTCATTAAACTAAGTCTTGTTTGTTTAAATTAGAAACAAATTCTCAAGTAACAAGAACCCTTTCCCTTTTTTCTGCTTCAGCAGTGAAAGGGTGTGTCTTTGGATTTTATTTAAAGCATGAAATTTCTTTTTCTGAGAGAGAAAACAAAACTAAAAACCAAACCCCTAACCAAAAACTTTTTTTTTTTTGAGAAAAGAAAAGCACACAGCCCAATTACACAAACTGAAACAAATGCTTTCATTTAGGAAAGAATATTTGAAGCATCTACCAAACAAGGAGGAAAAGGGTGAACCAAAAATATGCTAACAGGAGGATAAATAAAAACTAAATGCACAAGGTTAACAGACATAGGTAACTAGAATTATATGCCTTTAAAAAGTTTCAACTCCCCAACCAAAAAATAATCTGTGAGGATCCTAATGACCCCTAGAACCCTTTGAAATTCTTTCTTTAGCTTTATAAAATAATTCTGCAGCTACCCTCTAAGAAATGAAGGTGGCTACCTTAAGTGGGAGATTAGAGGATGGGAAGGGGGAGGAATTAAGGGAAAGGGGGAGAAATGCTTAGGAGAATCAACGGATTGCAATCTATCTGCTAGGAATGGACAAGACAACATCGAATGAGGAGCTGTCAGCTGGACCATACAAAAAGCTAAATGTACACAAAAGGTTTTTTTTTTCCTTTTAAATCTACCATACTGCTTCAGTTCATTTCCAATGCAACAATCTACTCAACACCAAAAATGGTCATATCTATCATAAATACAGAAAGTCAGTTTTTAAAACTTATTTTTTTAAGCTACAAGTCCTCAACACTCTTTGTGTGTGGGTTTTTTTTTTCTGAAAATGGGAGTGCTTAACTTTTCCCCTTGAAATTGGCTTCAGCAGAAAAGCTATCCTTAAAATCCCCAGAAAGCTAAAGCAGTTCACATTGTTTTTCTCAAATACTTTCTGCCCATTTTTTTTTAAATTAACAAAACAAAACAAAAATTCTTTTCTGGAACCAAAAAAAAAAAAAACCCAAAACTGAAAAAATAATATATATAAAACAATGATTCTGAAAACAGAACAAAGTGTGAGCGATTGACCTGAGAATAAAAAGACATTACATTTCTTTTTTTTTTTTCTTTTAGCAAGCCATTGGTATCTGAATGCTAAGATAGCAAGAAATTTAAAACTGTAACGAGGTGGACTGCTTTCCCATACAGTGCATGCCGGGCTCCTCTGTGCTATCAACGTGGGGCATTTATTGAAAAGGGGCAAATATACAAGGGGGTTAAGCTCCAAAAGACATTAGGAAGGCCCTGCAGACTTGTTTCCCAGACCGATAGTACCTTCAAAAGGACACAATGTAACAGGGTTAAAGGGTGTTGTTTCTTTCTTTCTTTCTTTTAATATTCAAAGAAAAAAAAAAAGACAAGTATGTCAAATCACCGGCATAGATAGGTATATGGGAAAACAACCCACGCTTTTTTCTTTTTTTTTTCCTTTTTTTTCCTTTTTTTTTTTTTTTTTGGTTAGAAGCTTTGGAATTGCAGTTAGTCTATTTTTGAAATTGGTTTGTTATTTTTTTTTATTATTTAAATTTCATTTGTATTGTTCATCTTCAAAGCTTACAATCTGAAGGTGTCCGTTCCTACACTGGTCAGACCACTGTCCTTGGGGCAGCTGGGGTCTTTGGGACCCTCCACCGGGCTCGCGGGTCCGTCGGACTTTTGGCTGAGATCCGTGTCAGACTCCTCCGAATAGTCGTCTGTTGGCATCGAGGGCTGAACCCCTGAGGTGCTGCATGAACTTGAGGTAACCGTTGAAGATGAGGAGAGAGGAGGGAAAGAAGAAGCCGGGGGCTTGGCGGCCGGCGCGCGCGGGCCCGCGGGCGGCCAGGGCTTCCGGGGCGCGTGGGGGGCGGCGGGGGGCGCGGCGGGGGCGGCGGCCGGCGGGGGAGGGGGGCTGTCGTTTGAGTGCGCGGCAGACTGCGAGGTAGATGCGGTGCTAGGGTCGGGGAAGCAGGCAGAGTGAGGTAATAAACTAGGGTGCTCTTTGGCGTTTCTTGCTGCTCTCGTGATTGTTCTGTGTTTGTGCAAGGCCGACTCGAGATGTTGACTCAGAGCTTCCTCCCCACACAGCGCGCTCTCGCACGCCAGGCAGTGGTACGAGCCGCCGCCGCCGCCGTTCGCGCCGCCGCCACCGTTCGCGCCGCCGCCGCCGCCGCCGTTCCCGCCGCTCCCGCTGCCGCCGCTGCTGCTGCTGCCGCCGCCGCCGCCGCCGCCGCCACCGCCGCCGCCCGTGGGGACATGAAGCACCATCTCTTGCAGGTTCACCACAGACTGGCCGAAGAAGCAGAGGGACTTCAGGTGGCTCCTGGCCGCCTCCTCGTCCCCGAAGCCCGCCTGGCACTTGCGGCAGACCAACTTGTACTGCACCTTTGGAACAATGAAGGGGTCGTAGAGGGAGTCCGCACTTTTGCTCTCCGCTTCTGGCTCTTCGGGGGGTTTCGGCAGGAGGGGGGACACCTCAAGGGGTGCGTTTTTCTGCTCTTCTGGTTTGGGGGATTCTTTGGCAGGGTCTTTGTCTGGGGAAGCAGCCCCCGGGGGGACTGGGGTTTGGCTTGCTTTGGGCTGCGGCGGCGGCGGCGGCGGCTGCGCTTTGGGGGGCGGCTGCTGCTGCTGCTGCTGCTGCTGCTGCTGCTGCTGCTGCTGCTGCTGCTGCTGCAGTTGCCGCTGCTGCTGCTGCTGGATGGCCTCCTGCAGGCTCTGCTGGTATTGCTGGTACTGCTGCAGGAGCGAGCCGGGGGACAGCCCCATCAGGGCCTGCGACAGCGCAGGGCTGTAGGGGAACAGGCCTTCCATGCCGTACATGGGCTGCAGGTACCCGCTCTGCAGGGCGCCGGGGATCTGGGGGGCGTAGTAAGGAGAGAAGCCGGGTACAAAGTAAGGAAGGAACTGGCTTGTCAGCAAGGCGGTGGGGTCCGAGGTCAAGGCGGCCTGCAGGGCCTGCAGCTGCGCGGGGTCCACCGCGTACTCCATGGCGGGCAGCGGGGCGGAGAGCGTGGCTGCGGCGGCCGGGGGCGCCTCGCCTTTCTCCTTCTTGGGGAGAGGCAGGGGCTCCCCTTTCCCTTTATGTGCCTTTTCCTTTACCTTCTCGCCGTCCTTGTCCTTCCGTGGCGGCGGCTGCTGCGGCGGGAGCTGCGGCGCGGGGGGCGGCTGGGCTGAGGGGGGTTGCTGCGGGGCCATCGCCAGGGTGGCTTGTGCTGGGGTCGGGGAGTTCAGCGCTGCTGAGGACGGTTTATTTGGTAATCCAGATGTGGGGAGGCCAGGGGAAGGTACTGTTGTGCTGGGCAGACCCATCAAGTTCGGTTTGGGAGACGTTAAAGCTGAAAGGAAGAGAAATCGCAGGTGAGTCTGGACTCCAAGATGTGTCACCTGTGTCACTGGCACACAGTCTAACTTTCAAGGTGCTCAAAGTCAGGCCCTCAGACAGAGGTACCGCTCCGGGCTCACGGGAGACACAGCTCTGTATGCCACTCGGGACCCTGTGACCTACGTCAGCCTCTGGATGGCCTCTTTCAGCTATAAAACGGCTAATGCCTAACGTGCCACACTGGCAGATTGGTATTCTCTTTGCTGGCTCCCCACTACCATGCCCACAACCCAATGCAATCAGTCTGGAGGCTTCCCAAGTCTTCAGCTTGGGCGCATTTGAACCAACAGCCTCCATCAAAGTTCTTGAGAAAGAGTACAGCCGAAAGGCACCCCCAGATGTCTGGGAGAGAGGGAACAGGAAAAGAAAGCAAAGGCAGGAAGCCTGGCAGACTCCAGGGCCCTGTGAGCATCATAATAGCCTTGCCTGTGCTCGTCTGGGGGTCTCCACTGCTGAGGTTGAATATGTGCCTTGGGAGGACAGGGAGAAGAGAAGAAACGGGAGAAAAGACAGACCATCCAAAGAAAACGCTCCACCGCCTCCGACTCAGGCGGTCTGCCCTAAGGCTACAGCCACAGCAACAGGAAGCAGACAAAACCAGGTTCAGAAATGGAACAGCCCAAGGTGCTGGCGCCACCAATTCCTAAGACATCACACTCGTGGATGTCCCCAAATAAGGCACCTGGATGGCAGAGACTCTGAAGCCCACCTGGGGCAGAGCTCTCCATATCAGTAACACCCTCGGGCTCCATCTGGCCACTACCTCGAGAGCCTTCTGCCAGCCAGAGCTTACATGGCCTCTGACCCATAGCCATCTCCTGGTTTCAGCCTTTTGTTCCAGGGTGGCAGAAGCCAATGTTGCTGCTGGCAGTCTAATCGCGGTGGTAGGGAAGGACAGCACCATCGGGGGTGAAGAGAGGGCTGAGGGACAGAGAGTCCTGGATGATGAAATACTGAAGACAGACAAGAGTTGAGAAGATTTCACAGACAGGACCTTTACATTCTCCACACCCAAGAAATGGGCCAGCGTAAGATCAGCGGATCCCAAAAATGTAAAATCAGAATCCTATAGCCTCTTCTTGGTTTTTTGTTTTGGAGCCACATCTGGCAAATACTCAGGGGTTTCTCATGGCTCTCCATTCAGTAATCACTTCTGGCAGGGCTCGGGGGACCATATGGGATGCTGGGGATTGAACCCAGATCATCTGCATGCAAGGCAAAATGCCTTACCTGCTGTACTATTGCCCCGGTCCCTCTTACTTAATATTTCATTTGCACCACATTCTGCCAGGAAGATAGAGCAGGGGTGACACTGCCTCAGGAGAGAAAACACTGTCCTCAGGAGAGAAAACACTAAAACTCAGACCTGGGTGAAGATAATATTGATTCCTACCATAAACAGGCCATCAAGCTGCATTTACCCCAGAATCCAGTTGGAAAGAATAAGGTCGCCTCCAATTGCCAATTCCAGAGAAACACCGAGAGCACTCAGATACCAAAAAGAAAGCTTCATTCAGCATCGGAGTGATAGCATAGAGGTTAAGGCATTTGTCTTGCATGAAACCGACCTGGGTTCGATCCCTCTGCCTCTCTTGGAGAGCCCGGCAAGCTACCAAGAGTATCTCGCCCGCACAGCAAAGCCCGTGACATATTCGATATGCCAAAAACAGTAACAGCAAGTCTTACAGTTTGTTGTGAGACATTACTGGTGCCTGCTCGAGCAAATAGATGAACAATGGGAGGACCATGCTACTGTGCTACCATTCAGCATCATTTGACATCACTAATTTACTCTTCCAAAGCATCAGAAGGAGTTCACTGAGTCATCCAACTTCCTTACTTTGTGTAAGGGACTGAAAACATGTGTGCCTGATTCTACAAAACTCCCTTAAGTCTCTTGGCTAAATTGATACCAACAAGGTGGAGACTGAGTTAGAAATTCTACACTTGGAACTTGCAGGTGTTCTTGCAGACTAGTCCTATGGAACAGCAGGTTTACTCGACATTTTAGGTTTGAGTCAAAACTAAAGACCAACATGATCAGGAAGGAAAGTCTGGAGATTCCTCCAAATTCCAGTCCTCTGATGCCCTTCACCTCATCCCAATGGCTCTAGATTTTCAGGAAACAGATCGAGATAAGACAGCCTCAAGCTTTCTGTATCTTGAACTGACTGTCCATGTGAGAGGCCAGTTTTAAGAAACTTTTCCTGATCCCTGCTCTTCACTCTTCATGTGATACAATCAATGAATTTATTCTCCACAATTATTCTCATCTGCAAGATCAAAACCAAGCAAGGCTCCCTCTGTGAGCGTATCATCTGACTCCTGGAAGCAGATGAATTTGGTATGGACTGTGGCTGACACACAGATATCATGTTACCTTGGGCCCACTAGCTGACTTCCCAGAACCTCAGCCTTCCATGATAGACAGATGTAGGGATTAACTTAAAGGTCATATGAAGAGAATTTTCCATGGGGCCTGGCCTATAATAGATGCTCAATAAACACAAGTTCTCTCCCTCCCATTCTAGACCCAGTGCTCCTGGGCGCTGCGGTCTAGTCAGGCGGTGATCTCTGGGGCATGCTTGGCTGCTTTCAATAAAGAAAAGCGAGCTTCCTCTCTTGAGTCCGCTCTGAGTGGTCAGAACCTGAGCAGCACTAAACATATACCTGTTGACTGACTGGCTCATACTGGGTGTTGTGGAAGGAGCACTTAGCACAGGGAGCCCGGAGGCCTGGGTGGGCGCTTTGGCTCCGCCCTAGCTTGCTGAATGGTCTTGACCTCTCTGGGCCTCTGTTTTCTCATCTGTAAAACAAGGGGAATAGATCAGACATTCTGATTCTAATTTCTTCACATTATTATGAAATGTTGGGCTTTCCCAAGCCCCTATCTCAAGGTCCTGGGCTGCGAGCCAGGGTAATTTAGTGTCTGGCCACTTTGCACAACTTCTTTATATATAGATATATTGTATAATGTATGTATAAGGCCCTCCCGTTGATCGTCGATTTGCTCGAGCGGGCCCAGTAACGTCTCCATTGGAGACTTTGTTGTTACTGTGTCTGGCATATCGAATACTCTCGGTAGCTTGCCGGGCTCTCCGAGAGGGGCGGAGGAATCGAACTCGGGTCGGCCATGTTGGCTGTGTGCAAGGCAGACGCCCTACCCGCTGTGCTATCGCTCCAGCCCTACATAGATATATTAATATAGATATATGTATAAAGAGGCTGCAAAGTGTGTGTGTGTGTGTGTGTGTGTGTGTATTTGGGAATTTGGGGGTGGGGTGTTGAGCCATATCTGGTGTTGCTCAGGAGCTACTCCTGACTCTGTGCTCAGGAGTGACCCTGACAGTGCTCAAGGGTCAGGATGTGGTGCTAGTGTGTTTGAAACCAGGTTGGTGGGATGCAAAACAAGTGCCTTAACCCCTGTACTATCACTCCATACCTCCTGGTTTACACTGAGCTAGTTTCAACATCAATTCTGTGATGCTACTTGTCAACACAAATAGCACACAATTGTCAACACAATGTACTGACTTCTGCAATTTAGAATTTCCATTTTTGTTCTTCTCTTCCAATAAGGAACCAGAACCAGAAATGTAAACCCCAGGTTAGTCTTTTGTAAATCACTGCCAGAACCATAAATCCTGGAATTCATTCAACCAGAAACCAGAGCACTCTTGGGAAGAAACGAACTGAACTGCACCAACCCCTGGGATCAGGGATACCCCTATGAATGCAAGGTGGAGTTCGGGGGAGCTCCCGCTGGAGAATGTGTGCCACACAATGCGGGCTGTCAGGGAGACTTGCAGACTCGTGCCTAAGTCTCACAGCATCGTGAAGGTTAACTTAGGAGAAGGATGAGGACAGAGGAGGAGGAATGGGAACAGGAAGTACATAGAAAGAACTGAAGATGGGAAATGAGCATGACCTGAAATCTCTAAAAATGAACGTTAACATTTCTATCTGGAGGACTAACACACACACACACACACACACACACACACACACACACACACACACACACCCCAGAATTCAGAACCACATTGCCCAGTGTAAGATCCCTTGTCAGTGTGATCAGTTCTCATTGGAAACTAAAGTAGCCACTGCTGCTCAGGCAGATAAAGAATCCCAGGCATACTTATCCCACATATAAGCAAAAGGGGCACAAGGACCGCAAGTGAATGCTCTTGAACCAAGTCCCATGGTTCAGAATTAACATGGTTCAGATGAGCTAGGGTGTTGATCAGAATTAACTAGGAAATTCAAATATCTTCGACACATACCTATGTAGGATGGGCAATTCCACAACGATTAACGGAAAGGGCTTTGATGGAATGCTCAGTATTGGAAGCATCCCAGAATCCCGTAGGCCAGGACCCTCACAATGCTGACCTGGAGTGCACAGCCTATTTATAAAGGCATGAGAATGGTTTCTGAGTGAAGTGTTCTAACCAGCAAGACCTGGCCCTGGACTAGGAAAACAAGAACCGTGTCTACCAAAGCACTCGGAGAACTCAATGGAAAGGACCGGCCGTGCTTTGGGCAGAGAACTAGAATGGGAAACACTGGCCCAACCCTGAGTGATAGCCAGCTAGCCGGACAGCTACATAATCCTCCAAGAATCACCTGGAACAAAACCCACCTGTGTTGGATGGAGTAAAACCCGGCAAGGAGGGGCTGTTGAGGCCAGGGAGCAACACGGGAGGAATGCCCTGGAGCGCTGGGTATGCGGTGGGAAGGTTAAGAGCCTGAAGGGGGGCGTTGTCAAACATCCCTTGCTGCTGAGCTGCCAGTCCGAGGACCTCATTGGCCTTTTTAATCCGGTCCAACTCTTGTTGAGCCATCAATTGGCGTACAGTGGCTGGGTCAAAGTATTCTTTTTCCTTGTCCAACTGGCTTCCAATGGTGTCTTTAACTTTGGAGATATGCTGTTGGGAAAAGATATGGTCACGTACAGACAGCCGTGCGCTGTACTTGATGCCACACAAAGTGCACTCTGTTTTGGGTCCCTCATAACTCGTTTGGTTTATACCAAAATGCTTGGCCATGCTTAGCTTGGACTTCTTTTCCTTTGCTCGGGCATTCTGGAACCAGACCTGAACGACTCTCTTTGGCAGTCCAATGTCATTGCCCAGGACCTCACACTCTAGCATGGTGGGTGTCCTGTAGTCATTGAAGCATGACTTGAGGACCTTTAGCTGCAGATTGGTCATTTGAGTGCGAAAACGTTTTTGCCCAGGCCGATCCCCACTGTCTCCAGATTTACCCGCCGACCCACTTGCCCCGGGACTCGGGGAGCAGGGGTCTGCCAGGCTTGAGGTTTCACTGTAGTCCACTGTACCTTCATTGTCATATTCCTTGCTGTAGAAGCTCGGGGCCGGGCTGACCAGACCGGAAGACAGCCGATCTTCGTACTCAGACATTGCCATCATGGCCGCTTTGGTCAGGCCTTCATTGGGCCCAGAAGAGGATTTGGTTTCCGTCGCTATTCCTGTTGCACTGTCGTTATCTGCATTGCCCTCGTCTCCTGTGGTGGTGTCTGTGATTGCCGTGTTGACAGAGGAACAGTCGTCATTGTCCAGCTTGGTTTGGTCAAAGTTGAGATTAACCGAGGACATCGAGGGGCTTTCAAAGTCTTCGATTCCTTCCACTTTGATAGAAGAAGGGCTCAGGAGAGTTCTGGGGGACAACTCCATGGTCTTACTCACAGGCGACAAGGGCACACCTTGGCCGTCACTACTGCTTGGGGGGAGGTGAGAAAAGCCAGTTCCATCAAAAATGTCCCCTTTCATTTGGAGTCCCCCGTCACAGTCCAGGAGCATTGCAGACAGCGTGAGGTTGTAGCCAGCTCTCTTGGCTTCGTGCCAGTGCCGGGACCGGATGTGAGCCTCCAGGGCGGTCTTGGCTTTGAAGAGCGCTCGGCAAAAGGGGCATCTCCTGTGGGCCTGGGCGGGGCCCACGGCCCGGAACTGCCCTTTCCGTTCCCGGGCTCGCGTGTTCTGAAACCAGACCTGCACCACGCGTTTCTTCAAGCCCACCTCGTGCGCAATGTGGTCCAGCATCTTCCGAGTTGGGTTGGAGTCCAGCAGATACTTCTGGTAGAGAATCTCCAGCTGCTCCGGTGTGATCGTCGTCCTCAGGCGCTTGTCTCTCTGAGGTTCCTCTCCTCCTGTGCCACTGTCATTCTCGCCCGGACTGGCGCTGGCCTTCTCCTCCAGCTTCCTCTTGAGAGTGTTCATGGTGGAGGTGGGCGTGGAAGGAGAGGTGGCCGCGCTGGCGGGGATCTGAGGTATGGCCCCAGAGAGCAGCTGGCTTGCCAGCAGTGGGTTACTCGGGTCAAAGAGCATGAAAGGCATATCCAGGGACCTGTCCAGGAACTGAGGGTGGATGAACTGGTTCTGCGCACTCAGGAAGTGAAGCTGCTGATGCTCCTGCCAGTGCTCGAACGACGGGAAAGCCAGCTTGCACTGGTCACACTGGTAGGGGATTAGCTGAGGAGGTAGGTTGGCCAACTGCTGAGGCGTTGATGTGTGGAGGGGCTTGAGGGGGAGGTGGGAGAGCTGGGATGGGCTGGGGCTCGACTGGGGCAGAGGGCACTGAGGCGGCGGGGCCTGTGGAGGTGGCTGCGGTAAGGAGGGTGGGGACGTCAGCTGGGGAAGCTTCTGCTGAGCCGCGTTTGCCTTCTGCTCAGGCTGGTCTTGCTGCGCTAGCTCTGCCTTTGGTTGGCCTTGCTTTTCTTGGGTTTGGGTTGGCTGTGCACCGGGAGGGTCAGCCTGCTTTGGTTTCTCGTCGCTCGCCTCGGATTTTGCACTGAAGACGGCCAGTTCCTCGGCTTCCGCCGTGAGCTGCAAGAAGGCAGAAGAAGCAGTGTTGGCTGAGGGTGCCGGGGCGCTGTAAGCCTGTGAAGGCATGGGGGTGCTACAGGAGGAGCTGGTGGGCGTCAGCATTTCCAGGGCATCCATGGAGTCTTCGTTCTGGCTGTCGTCCTGCCCCTCCTCATCCTCGTCCTTGTAACAGAGCTTCTTCTGGTGCTTGATGAGATCAAAGATGCGCTGGAAGACCAGGCTGCATTTCTTACACTGGTAGTTCAGGTTGCTTGTGCGGATGTACCGGTCATTCGTGAGCTCACGCCGCTCCCCATCTTTGCCCTCTCCCTGGTTCTCGTAATTTTTCCTGGCCTTCTGCCGGGCATTCTGAAACCAAACCACGATGACACGGGTCGGCAGGTTCAGTAAATTAGAGAGTTGCTCAAATTCGTCATCCTTTGGGTAGGCGTTGGCGTCGAAGAAGTCCTGAAGCACCCTCAGCTGGTAGTCGGTAAACCTGGTTCTCGACGATCTCTTGCTGCCCCAGTATTCCTGCTTCTGGGGCTCGGGCGAGGGCGGCCGGGAGTCGATCTTGAGCTCCTCCAGGCTGGTGATGGGAGGGTTGCTGAAGTTGTACGGGGAGTCCTTGTTGCGCTGCCGCTCCTTGAAGAGGGTGTTCCGGAACCAGTGCTTGATGACCTTCTGGGGCAGGCCGGACTTGTCCGCCATCTCTTTGATCTGCTCTTCGCTGGGGGAGTTGTTGATGTCAAAATACTGCCGCAGGACACGGAGCTGGTCGTCTGTGATCCGGGTGCGCGGCCTCTTGTTCTGCTGCTGGAGCAGGCTGGGGTTGAGCTGATGCTGGTACAGCTGGGCCAGGTCTGCGGGCAGAGGCTCCACGGGCCCCAGCTGCGGGGGCAGCTGAGCCGGCAGCGTCTGCAGCGGCATCGTCTGCATCATCAGAGGCGAGAAGATGGGCAGCTCCATGGGCATGGAGAGCTGGGTGAGCGGGACAGAGGGCTGGGCGGGCGCGATGGTGGGCGAGGTGATGGGGGGCGCCGAGGCGGGCACGGCGGGCGTGGAAGCTGGCTGCGGGGGTGCTGTGGGCAGTGGCGGGGGAGGGGGGTGGCGGGGGAGGCGGTGGCGGCGGCTCCGGGGTCTGGGGCCTCAGGGGGTACAGTTTGTCATAGTGTTCCCGGTACTGCTTGGCAAACCTCTCCAGCTGCTTGAAGGGAAAGTAGTTCTGATGCACGTGCTCCTGGTGACTCTTCAGAATCAAGATGTTGGAGAAGAGCTTGCCACAGGAGTCACACTCGAGCTTTTCCAGACTCTCCCCCTGCTCCGTCTTCCCATTCTTCTTCTGGACCTTCTGCTTGTTCTCATTGTACTGAATGACCAGCTCGAAGCCAAAGTTCTCCAGCAAGGCCTTGGTGGCGTTGCCCCTGGCGTCTGAAGCGATGCGTGGAGGGAGCATGGTGGCCTCCACGCCGGCCCCCGCCGCCAGCTCCTTCTTCTCTTTGCCCTTCAAGGCATCTGGCAGCGACTCTTTCGCTCCCGTGCCACCTTCCCCGCCGCCGTCGGTGCCGTCCCTCTCTCTCGGGCCCTCCTTGTCCTTGTCTTTGAGGATCAGCTTGTTCTTCTTCTCGGAGTGCGGGCTGGGCTGCAGGAGGGCAGCGTGGCCCTGGGGCAGTGGCAGCTGGCTCTGCTGCTGCTGCTGCTGCTGCTGTTGCTGCAGGAGCTGTGGATGGCTCGTCTGCGGGAGCTGCACTTGCGCCTTCAGGTCCTCCAGCAGGCCCGGGCCCGTCCCGGTCAGCGTCAGGGCGCCACTGGTCACCGGCAGGCTCACCTCAGGGTTCAGCTGGAACTCGGCGCTGGGGATGTAGAAGGGGAAGAGGAGGTGCTGCTGCTGCTGCAGCTGCAGCAGCGTCTCCGTGGTCATGGGGAAGTGGGGGAGGAGCGTGGGGTTGAAGAGCTGGGACTGGATCAGGGCGGCCTGCTGCTGCAGCTCCTGCTGCAGATGCGCCTGGACCTGAGCCTGCGCCTGGGCCAGCGTCTGCGCCTGCTGCTGTTGCTGCTGCTGCTGCTGTTGCTGCTGCTGTTGTTGTTGTTGCTGCTGCTGCTGCTGCTGCTGCTGCCGCGATGCAATCATATCCGCCAGCTTCTTCCGGTTGGCCTCCTTAGGTTCCGAAGGGGAGGAGATGTTGGCGCCGAGGGGGTTCCCCAGGGCCGGCATCCCCCCAGTCTCCGTGGGTGCCTGGCTCAGTAAGCCGGAGCTGGCAGCCAGGCCGGCGCTGCTGGGATTGGCGGTGGTGAAGGTGTTGCCGCCGCTGGTGCTCACGGGGCTGGGCGTGGAGGAGCTCAGGGAGACGCTGCCGCTGTTCCCGGTGCCGTTGCTGCTGCCGCTCGCAGCCTCCAGCTTGGCCGCCCGGGCTTTGGTTTGGTGCAGCACCGACCTCATGTGAATCTCCAGAGTGGAGCTCTGGCTGTAGGCCACGTTGCAAGTGTTACACTTAAAAGGCTTGTTGTCGGGGCTGCTGGTGGGTTCCGGCTGACCAGTGGCCGATTCCTGAAGGGCTCTCTTCAGCTTATGCAAGTGGGAGACGGAATTGTAGTGCACGAGAAGGATGTTCTTCTGAGTGAAAGATTCTTTGCAGACGGTACACTTGTAAGGGCGAGAAGGGTCTAGAAATTTTTCCATGGTAAAGTTGGGGCCTTTTCTGAAAGGTAAAGCTCTCTTTGGCTCTGAGCCCGAGTCTTCCTGGACCGACCCAGCGTCGCTACCCGTTGGGCTCTGTTTGTCTTCCAAGTCACTCTCTTCCTCCTTGTCTTCCTCAACAATTATGGTGTGGTCCTCCGCCAGGGTGGGGTCTCCCATGGCCAGGAGATCCCCGTTGGCGAGCAGGCCACCATAAAGCTGCTGGATGTCGGCCTCGCTCAGCTCCAGGTGGCTCGTCTCGAGGTGTTTTTTCAGAGCCTGGAAAGTTCGGAAACTGCGCTGGCAGAGGCAGCACATGGTGGCGGCTCTGATCACGTGGTACTGAGAGTGGAGCTGCAGCTTCTCGATGGTCTTGAAAGCCAAGCTGCACTGATTACAGCGGTACTTGTACACGTGGCGGTCGGACACGGGCAGCTGAGGTCTCTTGGCGTGCACCTCGTTGAAGTGCGTCTGGAGAGCAGCAGAGGTTTTGAAGACCTGGTTGCACCCTTTCTTCCAGCAGAGGAAGCCCGCGTCCTCTCTCACAGAGCCTGGCTCCACAGGAGAAGGTTTCAGATCCCCACCGTGCTCGGTGCTCGCCGATGGTAAGATGTTCTTTGCCAGGTCCTCCGAGGTCTCTGCAAACACATGAACAAATCAAGAAGGCTTGACTGACTTGGTAAAGAAGGCACCGACCGAGAATCTCGACACAGCCTCTGGCTTCCCCACCCCCATGAGTACATATTTAATAAGCAGGTGCACCTGAACTGACATGAAAAGAGGAAAATGTTTCCAATAACAATATGCCTGGATCATATCACAGATCTGACTTAGAGCGATGTTTGACTGCTGGATTTAGACTCCCCAGTTTCACCAGCACTGATGTGAAGGTAACTGATCTCATACTGGATTTCCCTTTGACTTTTGTCTTTTATTTATTTAGGGATTTAGGCCACACCCAACAGTGCTCAGGGATCACTCCTAGGGGAATCAGATGTAGTGCTGGGGATTGGCTGTATGCAAGGCAAACGCCTTACCCGCTGTATTATCACTCCAGCCCCGACTTTCGTTGTTTTTTTTTTTAATATAAAAATGTCCTTAACACAAGGTTGCTGAACGTATAAGTAAATGCTGTTCTAAAGATGAGGGAAAATTTATGAGACATGCTACGAGTTGCATCTAAGTTTAAAGACATATGATTTTCAGTATTCATGAAATTTCTTGTAAAATATGTTTTCTGTCATCTGCATTCAATAAGCAATAAGCACTAAAGCGTACAATTAAAATATATTAACATTTTTTCTATGGTGAGATGATCATATGGCACTCTTTCTCGTCAGCTGACTTATATAAAAAATCAAATCATAAGGGAAGAAAAAGATGAGGGGGAGTGATATGGTTCAACCTATACAAGGAGTTTATAAAAGCTGAAAGATGTAGGGGTGCTCATAAATGGACGTCTACCAGGACCAGTGGTGTTTCTGCCTACTGCAGTGTCCATTCCAACTACACCTCCAGGCTGCATCCAAGTCAATTCCAGAGGACGTAGAAGAATTTTGTGTAGAAGCAGATCTGGAGACCCAGTGCCCTGGAGTCATCCATGCACTCCACAAGTGCCTAATAATTCAGTTGTTAAGTGTTTAACCACTTAGTATGGTGGATCCAGCCTTTGCCAGCTGTGTCTGGTTAGTCACTCCCTAAATACATACACTCCAAGAGGGCATGTGGCTCACCCCAGTCCGACTGGTTCTCACCCGACTCTCACTTCAGACCAGTGCTTTTCCAGGCACCAGTCCAGGGATAAAACGGGTTGAAAACTCACTGTTTTAGGCCAGATAACTACAAGAACCAGAGCATAAGAGAGCTGACGAGAGTGACCTTCACCTGTCAATTAGTTACATTCCGTTGAGGACTCTGAGCAAACCCCCACCCTGTGAAAGTCCTGGCCTTAGCTCTCAGGGTTTCCGTTCCCAGGATCCAGAAGGATGATGAGACTAACCGGGCTGTTTTCCCGCCTCCTCCAAACTGGCATTCCCATCTCGGTCTGGAACGGCGACTGGCAGGAACATGCTGCTGGGCATCACCATTTCCGGGGTGGTCACCTGCGAAGCAAGCGGCAGAGGCACAGGGAGCGTCACACAGAGAGGAAAGAGCCACGAAGCAGGGACATGTGCCCCAAGTATTTAATAAGCAACATTAGCCGTCACCAGTGTAAAGCTGGAGGTGTCACTTTCCATAGCTCAGTGAAGATTCATGTTTATTAGACAAAGCTCACATCAGTCAAAAGTGTTTCTACGGTTACATTCTGGACATAATTAGCAGTGCACACTTGAAGAATAATCTTATTATTAATATTTTTCCTTTATGCAGAATTTTGACTTTGATCACTGACAATGTTTTGTCATGGGCTGTGAAACTTCTTGTGCAACCAATTAGGTAGATAAGTTGAAAGGCCCACCTTAAGCTGCTGAAAACATAATAAGGGCCCTAATTAAATCATACCTAGTAAAGTACACTGTAATCTTGAAGCAGGGAGCATTGTGGTACTGTTTTCAAAATGTATTCAGGCAAGAAGAGGTGGGGAGTAAGAGCAAAGGAAAGGGGAAGAGGAAGAGAAGAGAACAAAGGGAAGGCTAGGGACATGCAGACACGTCGCGGGTTTTTCTAGGAAGCCACACTTTGTAACCCTTTACAAGCTGAGATCAAGTGCCAACAAGCATTTCTTATGACTCGGTTAAGCCAGGAGTCTTTGCCTGAGGTAGCTGACAGCAGACGGAACCTCTGGCCAGTGTCTGAGCTGCGCAGAGGTTGTCCCGTATAATCTCTTGCAAAAGGGCAGCCCCTTCTTGACCACGGTCACGGATTCTTAATGCAGCAATTTCAGAATTAGTGTGGATGGACATAGTTCCAATTTTAGGTCAGGTCCTCAGACACTTGTCCAGGCCTCCCTGCTGCCTCGCTGGGGGCTTGTCCCAACATGTCATCATTTTTTTTTTTTTTTGCTAATGCGATGCATGCTCTTATTGTTAACAGTCAGGTTCAGGGGAATGGTGTTTCATTTCAATGGAAGTAACCTCCCTTTGCCCGTGTGAGGGTGGAAGGGAAGGGGCTGGACAGTGACAATCCAGATGGGTGAGAAACTGTCTCCGGCTTGAGGACAGCTTGAGAAATGAACTGACCCTGGTGGGACAGGAACAGAAACGCCAGCCACCACTTATTTTTCTCCACGGTGCCCAGCCCTCTCTCTTCCCATCAGGCTCTATGCCCCTGGCACCACACACTGCTCAGTGTGGTAACACTATCATGGGTGACAGCCCTCGGTTTGTTATAAATGTACAGCACCTAGATTACTGTTGGGAATGAAATAATATTTTATTTATTTTTTTAATAATATAGGAGTACTGCTATTTGTTCAGCCACTGATGAAGCTGATTGAATTGGGCATGAACTCCACATTACTTTTTTGTTTTTTAAATTGTATCACCATGAGATAGAATTGCAAAGCTTTCATTTTCCACCACCCATATTCCAGACCTCACCCTGCCTCTATGGCAGACAATATCCCAAATACTCTCGCTCCAATTTGGGACATTATGTTTTGCTCAAAACTTCCCACCACCATTCAAGCCTACCTGCCAGGGTCAAATTAAATGATATTTTCGATATATTAGCATTACTTTGTCCTTGCTGTGTAGCAGTCACACCAGTGGTGCTCAGACCTAGGGCCTGGCATGGCTGGTGGGAGACTGGGGCACATAGGGTAAGGATGATGACATCTAATCCTACGCCTATCACATGCCACGTGTGTGCTCGGATAATAAAATTGAGCCATATCTCCAGGCCACCATCAATTTCTGAATGGTTTGAAAATCCTGGTCTTGCTCAAAGTAACTGCTAATGTGGCCAACAGAACCACTTGGGGACAGGCTTGATCCGAAAGGAAACCCGGTCAGCTGCCTCACAGAGCTGCCAAAAGAACGTTCCGCACAGGTCTGGGGCGAGAGAATCCCTTCCACGCGCCAGATGCCAAGAGGTGCGAAATTAAGCAACAGGCACCACAAAGCAGGGTTTGGAGAAATCCTGAGACTCCGAAGAGCAGGTGCACGGCAGTCAAGGGTGTGCCACAGAATTCCCGGCCCCCACAACCCGGACATCTGCATCCTCACACGAGCTCCCTGGCAGCTGGTTAAGGCGAGCTGTTGATGAATCGTTAGGAATGGAGCAGAGATTGCCAAACTCGTTCCATCCATTTTCTTTTTAATAGAAAGCATTTCTGACCAGTGCAGTGGGAGTCCAGCGGGAATCCGAGAAGTGAAAGGTCACCGATTAATTTATAGTCCTCAGCCAAGGGGGAGCAGGAGGTTGGGGGCAAGAGGGGGAGAAAGGGAAGAGAAAAAAGGCTCCCCTCACCACCTCCATTCTCTGTGGTAGCTGCAGGACCCGTCCTTCCCTGGGATCTTTAGGAATTATGAAAAATGAATCATGAGAAATAAAAAAAAAGCCCTACAGAGTAAAAAAGAATAAAATTATCTAACACCTCAGCTGCACATCATTATAGAAAACGGTGGGCTTTTTATACGCATTACAGTAAGGCAGACAGCCCCTCTAACAGACTCAGTACGACGGATCAGTAATTGTTTTCATACACTTTAATTAGAAAAACTCAGATGGCTATGAATAATAATGGAAAAGAGACTTTTGCACTTGAAAGGTTGAAGTCAATCAAGTGTGAATGACGGCAAAAAAGAAAAAAAAAAGACACCAATTCATCAGCCCTCTGTTGTCTCGCTGCGACTTTAATCATAATTCCTGATTGGGATTCAAGAAGGCAGTAAGCAGCGGTTCTTTGTCTGCCTTCACCTTCCATCAATTAACTCTCCCCGAAATATAATCATCAGCCTCACATGCTCCTCTGCATCTTAATCTGGGCCTCCAAACCTGTAAGTCTTGCCCCATATGTGTTTAAGTAATTACTTTTATCTACCTGCCTCTTCTCATCCATAGTATCCCCAATCTCTCCAACAGTGGGGGGGAAAGGTTTGGTCTATGAAATTTTAAAGGGCAAGAAATTCCCAGGAGGGAAGGAGGCCCATCCTCAAAGGGAGTCTGATGGATGCAAAGATTCTTGCAGGGGTCTATCCACACATGAGCCTGGACAGCAGGAAGCTGTCTTGCGGCCCAGGTGCTTGGAGGACCCGCTTCAGCTCTTGCACTAAAGCTCCCGGGTCCATGTCCATCCCATCTCCTACTGGCTTCCAGAGCTTTCCACATAAATGCTTTTTCCCAGAGAGCCTTCAGGACAATCTGTTAGGAGAGCTCCTGGATCCTGCCGAGGAAGGGGACGGAGGGGCAGCGGTGGCCAAAGGCAGAATTCCTCACCACCTGTGTGGCTGTTCCCCCTTGTTTTCCAAACTGTGGAAGGTTTCCATTCCGACCCATCTCTGATGAACAGATGAGACCTGCCCTGTTGGCGTAGCACATGGGAGCACGGAGATATATAAAAGGACAAAACCCAGCGACAAGAAGACCAGAGGTGTCCTGAATGCGCCCAGGTCTTGAAGGACTACCATGTCCCCAGATCAAGCATCTCAGACAAGTGATTGTTGGTTTGCTCTCTTCCGCTCCCTTCCACACACTCTCCCTCCCCCACTAAATATTAGCTACACTGATTCCTCTCACAGTCTGTATGAGGAAACCCAAGACTATAAAAACAAACTTTTTACCAAAAGTTTTAAAAAAAGAAAACTGGTTTTAAAAAAAGTCAATATATTCAAGCCATTGCTTCAGTGGAATTTGGTTCTCTCAAGGCTGGCCCAGCCACGTGTAGGGTGGTTAGTTGTTGGTCCTTCTGTCTCCTGTTCCTCCCGTCCATTCTCGGCACTGAGTCTTTCCCTCCCAGAGAACAGAGAATTGACGGGAACATAGGACGAGGCCATCACCAGAGCTGGGGCACTGGGTGTTTGAAAGCAAACACTGGTTTTGGTACTGGGAAACACTTCTCACATTTAGTATGTAGAGGGCGAAGGGCAGTTAGGTTAGAGAAGGGCCCAGTATGACAATAATAGTTGGAAATGATCACTTTGGACAGGAACTGAGTGTTGAGAGTAGGTACAGGGATACACCTGATAACGTTTCAGTATCTATATTGCAAACCATAATGCCCAAAAGGGGGGTGGGGGGAGGGGGGAGAGAGAGAGAGAGTGCTGCCGTGGAAGGAGGGAAATTGGGGACATTGGTGGTGGGAAATGTACACTGGTAAAGGGATGGGTGTTGGAACACTATATAACTGAAACGCAATCATGAACAACTTTTGTAACTGTGTGTATCACAGTGATTCAATTGTCACTGTCACTGTCCTACCGTTGTTCATTGATTTGCTATAGTGGGCCCAGTAATGTCTCCACTGTGAGACTTGTTATTGTGTTTGGCATATCGAATACATCACAGGTAGCTTGCCAGGCTCTCCAAGAGGGGCGGAGGAATTGAACCTGGATCGGCCGGGTCGGCCACGTGCAAGGCAAATGCCCTAACCACTGTGCTATCCCTCCAGCCCAGTGATTCAATTAGAAATAAATATTTTTTTTAAAAAAAATTTAAAAAAATAGCAATAGAAGAGTTACACTATGGTGCTGGACATTTTCAAGCTTAAGCAATTCCAAAATGTCTCAGTAGTTTAGGAAGAGTGTTCTTCAACCGCTTATCCCAGGGTTCAGGAAGGGTGAAAACTAATGGTCTGCCACTATGGTTATAATGGTCAAGCCCCAAATGCAGGACAATAGGAAAAGGCAGCTAGGATAGAGAAGGGACCACTAAGTAAATGATGGTTGAAGATGGGAGATGTGTGCTGAAAGTAGACTATGGACCAAACATGATGGCCACTTAGTACCTATATTGCAAAATATAACACCCCAAAGAAGTGAGAGAGTAAGAGGAAATGTGCCTGCCACAGAGGCAGTGGGTAGAAAGGGGTGGAGGTGGTGGAAGGGATACTGGGAACATTGGTGGTGGAGAATTGAGCACTGGTGGAGGGATGGGTACTTAGTCATTATATGACTGAAACGTAATCACGAAATTTTGTAAGTCTGTAACTATCTCACAGTGA